AGCCGGCTCCTCATCTTCATCCTGCTTTTCGTCACCTTCCTTCTCTGCTTTAGCACGCGCTCGTTTATTTGACTTCCGACCGTTCGTCTGTGTCGATTGTTTGGCAGCAGGAGGGCGTAGGTTTGCTAGAAGGCCCATGGCTTCATAGACGCATACACGGACGCATACACGAGGAATAAACGCACCATGAATGACGGGCTGTAGGCCATACATTCTGTAAAGGTGAAATACTGCTTGTTCCTTGTCCTTTGCCTGAGTGTAGTGTCAGAGGATGTCGACACGGTATGAAGATAGTGTGCACCTCGATCATCAGATCTGAAATTTGCGTCCCATAAGTGAAATCCCTCAATCAAATTGAGAGTTTGGAGGCGCACCCATATCATCTGGTAGGTCGTCTGGAAGATTCTCGCATCTGTCCGCGTGGGCTCTCCGTTCCATCATCGTAACAGCACCAGGACGTGGTTCACTCAGATGCTGCTTTGGCTTGATACCTCGGCGGTCGAAAATGGTGTTGGCACGTTTGATGATTTCCTGAGGTGAGATCGAAGACGGATAGATGGCGTCGTGGTGATAATCTGCGCAGAATGGTCCTGTCAGTCGAGTCGTGAGGTGGCTAGCAGTTGCATTCACCAAAGACCAGAGGAACGTCTAGCTCTTCACAAACTTCTAGGAGTTCTTCGGCGTTGTAACACATCTGGAACTGTTGTCAGTGCAAATGCAAAGTAGAAGCAGCTTTCTCCTTACCTCGTCATTCTCCAGAACTAGTCGATTCCGCACATTTGTAGGAAGGTCGCGGATGGACTGTTTCAGACGTTCCAAGGTTGCCGTTTTATCGTCGTAGACGCCCCCACCCTTTGAATCTATATTAAACCATGACCCAGCATACCGAAAAACTTCGATTCCTCACATGGATAATCATGACACTATCGGGACCCATGCCCATTAGGTCCAGCATCTCGCAATGGTACGCAAGGTCGCGGCAAGCAGCTTCAACAACATCAGGCTTCGGACTTCCCAGCTGTATGTATTGGCCTGGGTGGACGGTCAGTCGATGACCGTATTTCCGTGCCAAGGCCCCAGCTTCCGCCAGGATGCCGGCGCAGTATTCAAGCGAATAGCCGTGGTCTGCGTGTGACGCGAAAGGGAACATCTCTGAAGAAAGGCGGAAGAATCTGATGTTCTGTAGGTAGGTTAGGAATGTCCTAGCCGAGGGAGAGTTGACGCACATTGTCTTCGTTCCACTGGATAATGGCCTTTAGATCCCCGACGTTCTTTCTTCCGAAGTCCTTCAACCACTCAGCACCGTTTTTCTTGAGAGAATCTAATCTGCAGGAAAATATGTTATAAGCCCCCTTTCTTTACTTACAGGACACATACCGGCACGTTCTAGAACAAAAAATAGAATCTGTGGCTGGTTTCTTGTTTCGCAACACGGTGTTCAGGCAAGCGTAACCTAGAATTATGGCAGGGTAAGATAGACTAAATGAGATCCACGAAACAGTGACATACCTAGCCGTCCTTTGAATGTTGTTTCCTTCTTCTCGACGTCTGGAATTACGTAGACTGGCTCAGGTATGGGCGCCCTCTTTCTCTTGGGTTTCGCAGCGCCTTCAACGAATTCGTCCCCCTCGTTTTGTGGAGAGGCTTTGGCCTTCTTTGATCTCTTTTTCTTTGGAGAAGGGAGTTCCAATGTCGCGGCTTCGTCAAACGCCGTTGCATTCACGGTGATTGCTTCTCCCTCAACCACAACTCCGCGAGTTTCGACGCGTTTGCGCTTGGAGACGCGACTAACTAGAGGTCCATCTGCTGAATATGTTTCTTGCACTTGGACACTACTTGCTGCTGCAGATAGGAGACGCCCACTCCGCCGCAACGTCTGGCCGACCTGGCCGACCTGGTCCAAGCTCGAGACAAGGCCGTCCGACATTCTGAATGCTCTGCTGAAGGACCTATGAAGAAGGGCTTTCGAAATGAGGTGGAAAGGAGGCCGTGGTGGCATGAACAAGAGGGGTGGATTGGATTCATGACTGGCATACAATTTGGTTAGAGGAGAAATGGAGAGCGGCTGATTCACTCCCAAGATCGAGATGGACCGGCCGGGCCGGGCTTCACAAATGCGATTCCACCACTTCCAGTTCAGCACACGACCAGTAGATTGCATCACTTCCCTCTGACTATATTACATGCAGGCATACCAGCGCGAAAATCAGCTGACTCAAAAGCTAAGTGCAAAAGCCGTTATTCGCCGACAGATCTGTCAATCCAAGCCTGTCAGCACCGAGCGACACTTGCTTCGTGGACAAAGCTCGAGTGAGGAAAGAAAGGCGACTCACTTATTCCGAAATAGTTGAAATGGGTATTAGAGAAAGGATTTGCGAACCCTTTGAGATAAGATAATTGTTTAGAGCTTGATAGAGGTAACTGCGACCTACAATTCGAACGGCTGCAATCACTGTCTTCACCCCCATTGCATCTCGTCACCGTAGCCGGGGAAGCTGCACAGTGTAAAGAGATCAATTTCAATTGCTACGTCAGAAATTTCAAAATAGAGTGCTGACCTGGATCCTTGAAGTTCCAGTACTCTGTAGCACTGTGGAGGGTCTTGATTATTGGTGTTACCAGGAAGGGGTTCAGACTTACAAATGCCGATATCCCGTAATGGGGAGTAGAACAAGCGGCGCCCAGTCTACAATAAAGGAATAAATTTAAACAAGGTGGAGGTCACTCACGACGCGACGACGACGCTCACCATTTGTATGGACGGCTCGGGAGATGTTGTTCCCTCCAATCATGTTTTCCACATATGACGCAAAGTCAGCGTTGCCCACTCTTGGCTGTCCTGTCGCGAGCCGAGCCAGCATCAGACCCAACCGAATGCAATCCATAAACCGAAGAAGCACATACCGTATGTGTACAGCACGACATTAGCTTGCGGAAGTGCTGACTTGACCACAAGCGCACCAAGGGACGCAACAGCACCACCCATCGAATGTCCGGTAAGGACGATCCGATAGGAGGGATACTCTGAAGCTTGCCTTGAAACCACTCCAAGCATGTCTTGACCGACGGCATTGAAGGCCGAAATGAAGCCAGAGTGGGCTGTCGCAGAGCCAACGTTACTGAGGCCGATGACCCCGTCTAGGGATTTCCGCCAGATAAGTAGGTCTGTGTGTCGAGAGGTTTGTCGAACAGGCAAGGAGACAGAGGAAAGTTGGACTCACCCTTAAGGATGTCGTCGAGCTTATTCTCAGTGCCGCGGAACGCTACGACAATCTCTTTTTTGTTGTCGTCACGAGCGACGAAGGTTCGGGTTCCGTGGTTGGAGAACTGACCGCGAAAGACGTGGACTTGTGAATTACTAGCGCATTTATTGCCCAAATTCGGTTGAAACTCGCCTCCTTGATCAAAGCGTGCCCTAAGGGTCGTTGGCAGTGGTTCTAGTAAGCCGCGAACGAGTATTTCGTATACAGCACAAGCTGGTCATACGTCTGCTGGTCAATTCCCTGGAGTGTCGCCCTCGGCTCAAGCTTGAGGAGTGCAGAGATGGGGAACGCAAGGGCAGCCAACCAGTGGAGGGCAGCTGTGTTGAAAAGGATGAAGAATACAGAACGCATTGCTAATTGCTGCAGTGAGGAAAGTATGGCCTATCTTTTATACCTATGTATGCAGTGCCGAGCCATGATAAAAATCATAATTCCGGAGGTAGAGATCGTTCTCAAGCCATTATCATCGACCAAACAGTCGAAGATGAGAGCCAGGATGCATCGTGGTTGATCATGCGAAGGCGCGGCAGTTCAAACAGTCAAAGCAGCTGACGGGGCGAACTTCCTTATCAGACGCTCTAAGAAAGAGACATACTGGAGGGAAGATTTCCGGCACAGCAGCCCTTCACCCCAGTTCCCTTTGTAGGCCATGAAGTTTGAACACAGCACACATCACAAGCATCCCCGTCTCCGACCGTGACGCAGACGTAGTATCATAACCATATTATAGCATTTGCGGAGTATGTTTCATCGAGACTCGTATTGAGGGTCAGTGGCAGTTCCTGGTCGCACGGCGGTTTTGCTGATTGAGGGAAGATTTAGAGAAGTATGAAGGCAGAGAAGGGATGTCATAGCGGTTCTTGGCATTAAGTGAGTTGAGAATAGTGCCAGTTCATCAGAAGGACGTCGAATTGAGTACAAGATGGGGACAATGGTAGTTGCTCAGAATCAATCATCCGCCAAAAACTGTGAACCAAAGTGTTGGCGAAGTCAAACCGTGGGAGCGGGCCGGTGGGAGGCGCGGTTCACGCGTTCACGGCAGAGAAATTTCGTACAACCAATTTCGTACAACCTCCGCAAACCCGTGCCTGAAGCTTCGAAGAACGAACAGACCACAATACACCATACGTATTAGTTTGGATATAAGAGAGCACAAAGTTGACAAGGAGAGGCGCCGTGATGAGAGGACTCGGAAACCTAACTGCAAAAGCCATTATTCGCAGGTAAAACTGATAATGCAAATATGTGAGCGAGATTTTGCCCAGATCGATAAAACGCGAATGAAAGAAATCGACTCACTTATTCCAAAATAGTTATCGTGAGTGTCGAAGTGGATGGGCCCTGTAAGATGGCGCGGTTATTCTCAGCTGGCTTTCGGTAGCGGGAAATGCGACCTACATTGTGAACGGCTGCAATTAGGGTCTTCACCACCATTACATCTCGTCACGGTAGCTGGGGATGCTGAAAAAAGATATAGAGTAAATCAATTTCTACAGGAAGGAATGCAACAGACAATAGAATACTTACCTGGATCTTTGAAGTTCCAGTACTCCGTACCGCTGAGAAGGGCGTCGACGTTTAGAAGAAAAGGGAGCTCCGATGGGGTTAGACTTACAAATGTCGATATCCCGTAATTCGCAGGAAAATGAGCGGCACCGAATCTACAACGAAGAAACTAGTGTAAAACGGAGGAGATTACTCATGAGGCGACTGTGATGCTTACCAGTTGTATGGACGACTCGGAAGACGTTGTTTACTCCTATCATCTTTTCTAGGTATGATGCAAAGTTGGTGTTACCCACTCTTGGTTGTCCTGTCACCAGTCGATCCAACTTCATGAACCCAGAAGCACACAATCCACGAGCCAAAGCACAACATACCATACGTATACAGCACGACATTGGCCTGCGGCAGCGCTGACTTCACCACAAGCGCACCAAGGGACGCAATGGCGCCACCCAACGAGTGTCCGGTGAGGACGATCCGATAGGAGGGATACTGTGAAGTTTGCCATGACACAACTCCCAGGACGTCTTTACCAACGGCATTGAAGCCAGACATGAAGCCAGAGTGGGCTGTCGCGAAACCAACGTTACTCAGGCCGGGTACCCAGTGTAGGGATTTCCGCCAGATCAGTGCATCTAGGTGTCGAGAGGTCTGCCAAATGGCCGAAGAGAGAGAGGAACCTTTGGCTCACCCTTGAGATAATCAAGCTTACTATCAGTGCCACGGAATGCAATGATTATCTCTTTTTTGTTGTCGTTGCGGGCGATGAAGGCTTGGGTCCCGTGGTTGGAGAGTTGGCCGAAGTAAAAGATATGAATTTGTCAAAGACTCCGACGCAATCATTGGTCAAAGGCAGCAGAGACTCACCTCTCGAATCAAAGTGTGTCCCAGGGGTCGTCGGCAGTGATTCTGATAAGCCGCGGACGAGTATTTCGCGTACAGTACAAGCTTGTCATACGTCTGCTGGTCAATTCCTTGGTGCGTCGCCCTCGGCTGAAGCTCTTGGTCTGCAGAAAGGGGCGACGCAAAGGCGATCAACCAGTTGAGAGTAGCTGTGATGAAGAGCACAAAACGCATGGGTAACAGAGACGTAATGCCTGGGGCCAGAGGAGTAAGTCTTACCCTTTTATACCGGCATAGACGCGATGAGAGTAATAATTCTGGCGTTACACAGTTCTCTAGTCATGATCATCAATCTTCCTTCAGTCAAAGATCCGAGAACCCAGTGCTTCAAAAGTTGAAGCGGCCAGTGTAAGCCAGATGACACGAACCCGTTAATGAAAGGCTCCAAAGAAGCGTTATTGACTGGAGCGGAGGCCGCCAGATCGACCGCCGTCAAGCACCCCACCTCCCATCATGGGCCATGAGGACGACACTATCCCAGTCCAGGTTCCAGAAGCTGGCCGGCAACCAACTAGAAGACGCCTTGAGAGTGCTCCAACGGTAAATGAAGGCTTAGTATTAGAAGCATGTATAGGCACCATATGTTTTATCAGGACTTGGTATGGATTCAAGGTCAGTGTCAGTGTCAGTTCTCGGGTCTCTAGGCGGATTTGCTGATTGAGGAAAGATTAAGAGCAGAGATGCGAGGGCAGAGAATCCATGCCCTAGGGCTTCTTGGTCGATGATAGCGCCAGCTCGTTAGGAGGAGGTCGGGAGCCTGAACGAGAGGTGGAAGATGTTGAACTCGGCTTGTGATTTCAACAAGCGAACTTGGTCTGATTGGTCGGAGATAAGATAAGATCGTGGAAAAGTGAATAAGATCTAGGCCCCATCATCGAGACGATTGAAGGCAGTTGAGCCCATCCGGTGCAGCCAAGAGTGCATAAATGGTTCAGAAATAGATGATCAGATTTCTCTGCTGCTGTTCAAACGATGCGACAAGGATGAAGCGGATTTACCAGGAACCGGTGTAGGGTCCCAGTATTTAAAGCTGCCCAAGAGCAAATTCAGAAAGCATCCCAGGTCTATTTTGTGCTACATTAACTCGGTCATGAGAGAAACACGCATATAAGAGGATACATAAACTCACGAGGTGGTGGTTCAATTTGCGGAGCATTTTTTAGCATGTTGAAAATGCGTTCGAGGGAAAATTGTCACGAGACTTGTGTTCGAGTTTGAGTCTGTATGGGAACTGAAGCGCAAGTTTAACTCAGACTACGTTCATCATCACTGGGTGCATCCATGATCCTACCGATGAACAGTGAGTCGACGCTTTCTATTCCTCCGAAGATTTTGAAAATCCCTTATTCCGAGGATAGAGACAAGACAGCGCGCTTCGAACAAAATCAGGCCCAGCCGAAGACATGGCAACAATAGTCGAATCCTTATCCAAGGCGTGAGTTGAATCCTCCACACTGTTAGCGGTCTCGAATCTGAAAATTTCCTTCTTATTTAGCACACCTTTTCTGGGGTGCAGGCGCTGTTGGGGCTCAAGGAAGACGAAAGGCGTTTCCGAAATATGAAGGTATGCGGCAAGTGCGAATGCTGTTAGCCCTTACCGGAACAATTGGCGGTATTTCCCCCAGGAGAATATGCGGAACTTGGTCGCCAGGTTTCTGGTCATCGAGGAGATGGCATCGAAGCAACAGGGGGGTATCATCATGATAATCAACGAGGTCTGTCATAGTAAAATGGCTGGCATGAAATCTATTAATCAACCCGAGCAGCTTCAGAAAATATATCCTGACGTATTCAAGGCTGACGCGGATGAGAGGATCGCTCTCGCCCGCTCATGGATCAGCGTGCTGCATCTGAGGCGACGACAAGCCCAGCAAAGGAGAAGTAACGGAACGTCTAAGAGTCTCGGAGAAGCTAAAGGGCCGGCGAGAATCATACTAGATCTGGTATGTCCTTTGTATCGACACTGACGCGGGCTTATGTTTCTCTGCTACGTAGACCAACTTAAGTGATAGCGAGCTGTCTGATTCTGTAAGTTCATGGACCCCAATCTCCTACTCCTGCTATAATGACAAGATATTCAAATTTATTCTGAAGGACGATGACCCCGTGGCCGATGTGCTAGTCGACCGCGAGCAGCCATATGCATCCGCAATAAGCGCCCGCCGTTGTGACGGAGCGCCGGCTCTGGTCACAAGCACGGCGGCTGTCCAAAAGAGTGCCGGTCCGGGTCCCCTCTTGAGCCCACATGCGACATCCACGGCTCAGCCATCTCAGGAACAAGATAACCCCAGAAGGGCGGAGGCAACATTCAAGACTAGCACAAGCGCAAACTTGGTGAACCGTTCCGTCATGGCGCAACGTCCTTCGTCCGTTTCCGCGATGTCGGCCGGAATGTCTACCACCAGTATCGGAGCACAAGAATTAAAGTCTGACGGATTGTACCAATTCCTCAGCGGGTGCACCCCCTCTATGGCACATTTACACTCCCTTTTTGTGGCATACGGTTGTGTTGACGAAGAATATCTCTATGCGGCCTCGACTTGGCCCGCGGATCAGATCTATGATTTCTTGAAGGACATCGGGAAACAGAGCAAGGAAAACAACAAGGTTACAGAGATGGATATCAGGATCTTGCGCAGGCGCTTGCAGAGCTATTTTGCTGATGTGTGATTGCATAGAAGTAGCCTAGTATACGGAAAACCCCTCAATTGAACGTCTCCCTCGACCGGAAACTTTGACCCAGTCATGACAAACATTATGTGTAAAATACCAGATATTATTTATTTGCATGATTTCTATTTAGGGAGAGTAGTAGTGAAGGTTCCCGAGGACGCAGCAAATTTATTTTAAAAGAGCCTAGCACCTACGAGTCGCGGAGAGCCGCCAAACAAACATCCTGCGCTACTCAAATACGAAAAGTCACTGGCGTCACCGCACGCAAATCCTCATCGCAACATCTGACTGGGGATTATTTAGTGGCTCATATCGGCATAATACGACGGGTCTGCCATGAGCCAATCTAATCATGGCGCACCGTCTGTGCCAACTGCCGCACAAAAATGCCACCTTATTGGCGGCAACATTGATACTGGTTACAAAAGGGTGGGTTAATGTGGAGTCGCTCTAGACTGTAGATCTGACTCTTCTCTCTTGTAGGTTACCCTTGCAGAGCTACGAGAGGTCTTAGGCATGCAAGAGAAGCCACTAGAGTTTGAGGGGATCAAGGTATAGCTCTTCCGTTCGGTTTCACTAGTTATCACTGAAGCGGGCTATATTTCTTGGGGCGCCAGAAGGATCTTCGTCGAATGGCAGAGAAAAATCTAAAAATTGAACACGTTGGGGTGGTTCAGACAGGCGCTATCACCGCGATATTAAACGAGGTGAGTTGTCATTACGAGTCGCTCCCGAAGGCTGTGATTTTCATATCTGACTTCCTCTCACGCTCGCAAGTTAAAGGAGAAGCGCCCTTCTTTATACGGATCTGGAGACCAGGAGAAGAAACTCCATTGTGTGCGGGGCGCCCTCCTTGCTTTCCATGGGCAACGAAGAAGAAGGGCCAAGAGTGCTATGGTCAAACATCCAGTTCCATTACTCCCCAGGCAGGAAATTCAAAAGAAAGTGGAGGTGATTGACCTGGTGAGTGAGAAACAGCAGTGTTCAAGACGATCTCCGCTAATTTAACTGTTCTGCGTTGAACTTGTAGACCCTTGACAGTGACTCTGAACCGGAGGAGAAAAACGACTGCGAATCAGAAGACGTTCGTAGCTCCTTGGCAGTTCGTCAAGACGCAGAGATCTTACTTTTTGCATAGGAAGTGGACGAACTCGAAACAAGCCCTGGACCTTCACTTACAGTGGCCGAGGAGTCTGAAATGAAGCCGACGCTCGCCGAACTGCAGTCCGCCGAGCAAAAGCGACACCTGACGTCAAAAGATATTGCACTTCCGCTTCGAGTTCCAGAGGGAACTGATCCTGTAGCCAAGTTCCTTAGCTCCTGCATGCCGTCAATGGCGCATCTACTTCCCATATTCCGCGAAATTGGGTGCACCAGCGAAGAGCACCTCCAGGCGATATCTCGATGGCACCAGGATCGGATCTATGCTTTCCTCAAGAGAAACTCGCGCGCCTCGGAACGTGGAAATTCAATGACGGAGGTGGAGGTGGCGATACTGGAGAATCACTTTATCGAGTATTTCAAAAAGTGAAATGGTCGTCTTTCTAAATTTCGTACTTGCAATTGTTGACAGAGGGGTTACAAGCTGGAATGCACATTGTCGACGAGAGCAGGAAATTGCTTTGATGTTTCTCATGACCGACTCGCGTAACAGGTGGTCTATGAAGTGCTAGTGAAGGGTAATCCAGGGCCGTAACAACCCGTAACCTCTCATCATTCCACGCGAAAGGCAACGATCTTGGGTTTGGACAACTTCCGAGTAACCCGTATGGTCGGTCCTTGGCTCACGCTGAAATATGGAGAACTCTGTTGAACGATTCCAGAGTCGAGTCGTTCTATACTGACAGCGCCTGATCAGTAGCATTGACGATCAGTGGAAGAGAAGGTAAGACGAATCAGATTGTGATCAAGAGCCATTCTGGGCGGGGTCTCAAAGCCTGTTTCTCGTCGGGAGAAGAGATGGTGAGAGGAGGAAGGAACGTTCTCGGTCCTTGAAGTGATGGGTGAATGCATGATTGATGCAAGAGTGATCAAGGAGTGGCTGTGCCGCGGGTGGAAAGAAGGCGATAAGATAAGATCAGAGGCTTTTCGAATGCTCGCAAACCTTCCAACATCCACCTCCAAGTCAGAATGAACAAGAAATGATATTGTTTAAATAAAGATTGTCAGTATGTGTTACATCCATCATCAACAAGTCCAGGTATGTATCTAGTTAGATGCAGATACAGTAATCAAATAGCGTGTCTTCCAGAGCAGATGCTTAGTTATACCAGTCAACAAACCCAGGTTCTTCAGCAAAGAACATTCTATAGCATGAGCATCACGAGCATAAGCGAGCCTGAAAGCAGAATACCGAAGGTCGAGCTCTTCAGCGACAGCGCGGGGCTTCTCGCACCTATACTTCATGAACACCCTGTCACCCCCGAGAAAGCAACGGGAGACTCACCACTCGAGCCAACATCCGTCGAGCCACCGTTCGGGGCTCCTGTTGTCGGAGAAACGGTGACGGAAACAGTCGAGGGCGAGGAAGCAGACGCAGGCGGAGAAGAAGAGGGACCAGAGGTGGAGGAAGCAGCTGGAGGAGTGAGCAAATGCTAATCAGAAGAAAGGAAGATAAACGGACCTGTACCACCAGCGACGCTCGAGAGCTCCGCGAACCCAACCGAGGGCGGGGTCGCGCGAAACACGGAGTACACGTTTTTCTGTTCGGAAAGTCATTAATGCCATCCATTCGATGTAGGCAACAGTCGTGTGATACGCACCAAGAAAGTATCCCCAACGACCCAGCTCGGATTGCCCGACCCACTCGCGATATTGCTCCCCAACGTCAAGTCAAAGATCGCCCCTGCGCACTGTGAGCTCCCGCGCGTGTCTGGGCCGAGGTTCATGTCGTTCGGGTTAATGGGCCAGGACTTGCCCCCGAAGGCGAAGGAGATGTTCACTTGTTGGTCGCATGCTAGAACCAAGGAAATCATCATTGGGATGGAAAGGGTAAAGAGAGAGGGACGCACGGAAAGTAAAGAACCCCTGGGTCTGCGACTTGCCTGAGCCTGGGACAGCGGCCCAGACGGCGGCGACGTCCGTCGAGGGGCCGCCGATGAGCGTCGTGCCGGTGTCGATGGCGGAGAGCGCCTGGCTTCCTGATGAGATCGAAACTGCCTTGCTGTCGACGGTGACAGCTGGATGGGGTATATTTTTGGTTCGTGAGAGGGATTGCCAACAACGACGGAAACACCAGGACAGCAACATCCATCAGCACACTGCTCCAAAATACACCCTAAACACTCACAAGAAACCGACAAGATCCAAAACGACGGCGTCTGCGTCGGCATGTTTACAAACTCGATATCGCCCGTGAACAAGCTCGAGTTCGTGCCGCCCAACGTAAACACCCCTCCAGGCTCCTCACTCTTTGCCTTCAGGTTGTCGATCTCTCGCGTCAGCCAGAAGCCCATCTCCGGGGTCGTAAGTTGCCCGTCGTTTGCAAGTGCCTCCCAGAACGGCGTCGCCTGCGTGCTTGCGATTGACTCGAACGCGAGGCCCATGATGCCGGAGACGGTGCCGTCCAGGAGATTGCTGGTGACTCTGTCAACTGCGACTGTTCCGCAGAGCAATCACAACAAGGAGGGTAAGATAATATCTCCGCAGTGCAGAACAAAGTGAAACGCACGGAAAGTCTGCTCAGAGATTGTGAACCCGCCCATGCTGACCACGTCCTGCGCGAGTGTGCCCTGCACCGCCCCGGACCCGTAGCGGATCGTCACCTGCGAGCCGAGCGCCGACGTGGGGCCCTTGAATGTCGACGATTCGTCTGCCTGGAAGACTGGGGTGCTCGCGTCGCATGAGGTGCATGAGGTGTCAGCGACCCAAAGGTCGGAGGATCCCGTGTCGAGGATGACGTTGAACGTCTGCGGACTGGTGAGAGAGAAAGGGAAAGAATACGTCAGCGAGTGGAAAGCGTGGACATGACAGCGCTCGGATATGATGCGCCAAGGAAAGCTGGGCAGACTGTTGGGGCAGGTCGATCAGCCTTGGCCAAGTCCATTGGCATAACGTCCTCGCCCGTTCGCATGAAGAACCTCGGAGAGATGCAGTGGGTGCTCCCAGGCTCTCCAATTTAAAAAAATACGTGGTGGGGCCATCGACTGCGCATCACCGCACGTCGCCCGTCATGCAGCAAGAGAGGTGAGGTGACGAGGACTTACGGTGTTCCGATCGTGATACTGCCGAAGTAGCTCGAGTCCGCGTCCTGGACGTCCGTAAACGGTGATCAGAGGGTCTGAACAACACATGGAGCGTGCACTGACCTGGTTGACGATTGGGATGTCTGCAGACGCCCGCTTTCCTGACCGTCGGGGTATCGTCGCTGTCGTCCCATTGGTAAATCCATACCGATTCCTCAGCTTGTCGGCCTCCTTGTTCAGGTCGAGGTGAGCACCTCGCGCACGACGAGAGAGGGTAACGTGTATCGGATCCTGAGCGAGCGCAAGTGCCGGGAAGAGTATGAAGGGTAGCGTAAGCGACAACGGTGCCATCGATGCACTGAGAGAAGGAAGGGAGTGAAGAGTGAAGAAGTAAGAAGTAAGGGGAGAATAATGGAAATAAAAGGTGGAGAAGAGTGGGTCAGCGGGCATACAAAAGCACCTTTAAAATGTCGTGTGAACCCTGCCCGGCCTCTGCCTGCCTCCCCTTACTACTCAGCCCATCTCGCTCCGAACCGACTGCTCACAATCCACCGCGGCCCAAACACCTCAGCACCATAAGCGACATATTCCGCAGCACAACCCACAATCGCAGTGGCAAATTGTGCGGTTCTTAAAATAACAATGCATTTCGTGTCTAGGAAACATCAGCGTTGCTGCTTCAGGCTATAAATAGCTTCGGCTACTCGTCCAAAAGGTCCAAAAATAGAACTTACTGTCATGCACACCACCAACGAGATTGAGCGTGATGGCAAGGCGCCCTGGAGATTGCCCATAAGAATCTATGAGTCGCGGTATCCTCCGGATTTATATGCCAATAGTTGGTCACCGTCTTGTTTCTGGGGTCAAAGTCATTTACTTCGTGTTTTTCTCGGAATGCATCCGATTGTGTATCACCCATCTTCCTCAACCAAGATCTCAACCCTACACCCATCACATCAGGATGGTGAATGTCGTCTTGTATTTTTATGCAGATGTCCCTGCCCACTTGGCGCTTGAACTGTTGGTTGAACGTCTCAATGGGCAAGCGACGGCTATGTCGCCACAGACGCCCGTGTCAGTACCACAAGAAAGAGTCACAGCTCATCAGTGCTTTGACGTCCAACAGGCTCTAGTGGCTCTTTGTCTATGCGGAATAGATAATTATTTGCTGAGAGAGACAGAAAAAGAGTGAACAGAGCGTGACGCTTACATAAAAAGCTGCGCATCCATGTGCGGGTTTTGTACCTTCCCCCACTGTTGAAGATAAACCGTCACGCAATCCTAAGCTTTGCTCCTCTCACCAGACATTGCTACGAGTCCAAGGGATGCCAAGTGGCCGAACTGTCTTCACACGAAACTGAGTCGTAGGAGCTCTCGTCAGTCTCAATGAGGTCGAGGTGGAGGGCGAAGCGAGAGGACGACTCTTACTTAGGAAACTTAAGAGAGGGGCGAGCAATGAGAAACTCATGAGTAGAAGACCAAGGTTCAACCAGAGAGGAAGACTGAGACGGATGGATAAGAGGCCCGCGGTGCAGCAAACATCCTCAAAAGGGAAGCCAGAGGGCTCGGCGGAATAAAAGAAAGAGAGGGAAGACTCAGAGATGCTGGAAAAGAAATGTTCACAGAAGGACGTGGCTTACAATATATCCTGTGGAGGGTTATTTATTTAGGGAAGGCACTTACCCCATGGCTGGTGGACGGCAATTTCTTGGAGACAACCGTGTTTGGTAGACTGGTTCCCAAATTAGGAAGAGACGATCGGGAGACATCCGTTTCGTTGAATTCTTCGGCTCTGGAACCCGCTCGTGTTTTTTTGTAAGGAAACTCGTCGTGTATTGCGCATATTGATATCAGCTTTGGATCTACCAAATCAGAGGCATCAATATCGATATACCTGATTTCCACCTAATAGGGTCAGTTTTACCATGGAGGTCGACTAATATCTAATGATCCCTCTTTCTACACCCCCGTTTATCTCCGGATCCATTACCCACTGACCAACATCCGGAGTTGAACCTTATCAGGAGAGTTCCTACTGCCTTGTCTTATTTTTACTTGAGAACGGAAGACGTGACGCCGGGTATATGTACGAGCGCAGTACGCAGCAGGTTGAAGCATATCCAAAGAGCGTGCTATTCCTGAATCTCCTTTTAAATTTAGTAGATGCCAGCAGCTGTGTTTAGTAACGACTTCGACAGGTGTGGATGTCCTGAGGGAAAGGGAAAGTATTGTGAAATTGACAGTGTTGAAGTAATATCTGACTGCTTTGACTCTGCTCAACGGCATTTTGAAAGGACTGGACTCTGCAAAACTTGCACCTTATCTTATCTGGTTCCTGCTGCACAGCCACTTGATCAATCTTTTCTCTCGCGTCAACTCACACCCAACCATCAATCCCCCCTCAAGCACCCTTCTGTACATCCATCTCTTGATCAAGACCAGGACGATCCGACTCATCCCGCTGTTCAAACTCGCAAGCCCCCACCGAAATTGAGTCCCAGTGCATTCAAGTTGGCGGTCACAGACAGTGTGATCGCGCTGCGTGGGATGGACTGCTGTGTCCAAGTGAGGCCAGCCGAAGTCCTGGAAATTCCGTTCCTCTCACCAAGTGACTTGCTACAGGACTCTGACCTCCACCCAGCACTCCTGCTCCGGCCGGCTTTCCTCAGCTGTACATGTTGTCACCTTCTGCTCTCGACATGATCAGCTCAGGAAGACATGAAGATCGTGCTTGGGAACTTCATGTATACCACCAGGAATTGAGAGAATGTCGATTTCTGGCGGCGCGATTAAGTAAACAACGGCATCTGGCTTGAAAGAGGGCAGTAGGGCCGGGCCGTCAGCGCCACGGACTTGAGTGACCGTGGGAAATCGAGCAGGACGCGCGTCGCGTCGACATTTTGGTGAAGCACTCTACTCTCCATCTACACCATTCCCCATCATGTCGAAACCCCAAGAATTCACCATCAAAGTGCAGTCAGAAGATGCAGAAAAGAAGGAAAAGCCCGAGAGTGATAAGCCCAATTTCGAGGGTTCATCGAAACTCTTGAAGGATTCTAAAGAGGGCGAAGGCGGAGTTGGTCCGTCGTGCTATCTTTGTCTAGTGGTTCCACCGTTTAACGAATGCCTTGCAGTCGGAAGAGGATCAGCAACTAAAAGATCAGCTAGAGATGTTGGTCGAACGGTTGAAGGTACGTCATAATACCCACTAGAGGCAGCTCAGGTCCTAATGCAACTCTAGGAATTGAATACCGAGCTCTATCGGTCTGCTCTGGAAACATTACGAACCCTCATCCGAACATCTACTTCTTCTATGACTTCCGTACCTAAACCTCTTAAATTTCTCCGGCCGCATTATCCCGATCTTCAAGCACTGTACGAAACCTGGGCTCCGTCGGAAGACAAGGTCAGTCCTCTCTTTCACCGCCATACTCCGTTTAACACGTCTTCAGAGTCTCTTCGCCGATATCCTCTCCGTTCTGGCCATGACCTACTCCGACACACAGCCAAGAGGAACGCTGCGATACGGACGATCTCCGGTTTCCAGACACATCAGTCACCCGTCCGGCTTGGGACGACAGAGCGTGCGGAGTTAGCAACCGAGGAGTTCATTCCCTTTAGCCACGTCCTCGAGGGCTTCGTCATCCTACAGAAGAACGCCGGTTGGGAGACGGAGGACAAGATGGAGCTATAGGATGTGCTGGCGCGCACGTGATGTACCGGTCTATGCCGAAGACATTTGTGAGATAGATATTACAGTGCCGCTGGCCCCTGGGTTGTTGAATCAATCGCATCTTTTCTTTCATCAATACACCCTCGTGGAAAGCGGACTTGTCTATGTCGGTCGTTGGGTCGCTTCCCTCTTTCCAGTAATAACAGCACGCACTGATATCATTGTACTCTACAAGTCCATTGTCGACAAACGCAATGACAGCAAAAAGGTCCCAGAATAATTTACAGAAAAATGTAGGTAAAAACGAAGGTCGTAGAGACCAAGATGCAAACAATCCAGACAGGAATGCCTTGCTCATAAATAGGAACTGGGCTCGCCAGATCTTTGGGAACGACGACCTCTGTGATAGTTATGGTCTTCTCCTCGAGCGCCACAAGCTCGTCTAGCTTGAGGCTTTTCGAGGCAATCGTCTCGTTGGTAACATCCAGGCTTCGTTTGCGCTGGACCGTTGACTCCGTCACCGCTTCCACTTCTTGAACTCTTGGGGAGCTTGTGTTTTGATTGGATTCGGATGATGATCGGGGGTCAATTAACGAACGATCGACAGTGAGCTACAAAGAAAGGACAGCTGTTGGCATGGAGTTTATGAAGTCAGATATGAAAAGCAACGTACATTTTCGCTGTCGTCTTCCTGCGGCCTTTCGACATGAATTGACGGTGCCTTCTCCACACCCTCTCCTCTTTCTGCCTGTGCAGGCGCACCTGGTGGTAGATACACCACTCGAAGCTTCCGTTGGTGCACATGTATATCTGAGGCATCTTTGTATGCAAGATCCCACTGAATTCAGAGATAAGTCTGAGAAATTAGAAATAAAGAGAAACGTACGAGCTCCTTTCCATTTATGCGATCCTGATCGGAGGTCACAGTAAATGCGTGGATCAGAAATTTATCTTTACACTTGAAGGACGCTGGGGGTTCTTCGGTGAGTCCGTGTAAAGTGACTGAAGATGTCTTATGAGTGCAGGGTCCTCATCAAGAAATGAATCTGACGTACTGTACACCACAACGCTTTCCAATTTCCTGATTTTCCCGACTCCTGGCCTCGCCGCATACAGCTGTTCGAACGTTCACCCGAATAGAAAAATGGATAGTGCACTTAGTTAGACGTTTGGTTCTGCGGTGACACTTGTACTAACCTTTGGTGCAGTGGTCTTGATTCGAAAATGAAGGGTGTTCCCAGTCGAATTGGTTACCGTAAGTTGAACGGTGGGCTTGCTTGCTTGCGCGAACGGTCCTGAAAACAATTCAGGGGTTGATTAGAAACACTGTAGGAGGGAGAGGTTGGCTACGATGCGACGTTGGTTTACGGTGACTGCACGATCACATGATCTGTGACGCGTCTCGCCTAGGACTTAGCTTTCGGATTCATGCATCGAGACTTCACTTATTCTACATTCCGTGTATCATACAGCCTTGGCCTTTATCCATCCGAACTCATACCGACTTACTGTCATTCACTTGGAGCCCAACCGCGAGGGGATAAGCCAAAACGGCTGATCCTCATCCCGTACATCCCAATACCGTTCTACCGAAGTCAAACGCCACGTCAAAATCCCGTCGTCAGAAGAACGAGGTTGGCCGTTCTAGGGTACTACCACCGAGAAAAGGAGTACCAGGACGAGTGCCACCAGCTTCCGACATCGAGGAAGACATCGCCGAGGTTGGCTATCGTATCATCAAAGAATCAGCAGATTACAACGAACAAGACGACGAGATCGTTCAAGAGCAGCTTACCAGCAACATACACAAAAATCCACCAAGGGCAGGTAGACGAAACCCCGCAAAAACTTTGCAGACGCAAGAAAATCAGTCAGATCAGTCATCCGAAGCGCATATACTCACTCAATCAGCCGCTGCGAACGTGGTTTCCATAAACACGATGTCATCAGACCCTAGCAAGATGCCCACCCCTGGGTCAAAGAAGAGCCCGGACTGGAAAGGGAAGGTAGAGGAGCTGTTGGAATTTTTCGAAGACTTTGAGGAGTTGGCAAAGGTAGCAAGCTTGAAGGACGAGGAGAAGATGAAGTGGGTGTTGAAGTATGTGGCTGAGAAGAGCACGAGGAAGTTTTGGAAGTCTCTGGACGCCTACAGCGCAACTCCGAAGGATTGGGCTGCTTTCAAAAAGGAGGTTTTGGAGCAGTATCCGGGTGCCGAGGAAGGCGAGGCATACACTGTGCGCGACTTGGAGAAATTGACGAAGGCGACAGCTGAAAAACGCATCAACACGGAGGAACGTTTTATGAAGTATTACTCACATTTCAAGCCAATGGCGAAGTTCCTAGTTGCCAAGAACAAGATCAGCACACTGGACAGTAATCGGTACTTCTGGAATGGCCTGCCCAAGGCGACGAGGAAGTTGATTAAGCAACGACTCGACATGACCGATGCTGCCAGAGATGTGAAGGTTATGCCATCAGTGGAAAACGTCGTCAAAGCAGCACGGAGGGTGTTGGGGGAAGATGCGTTGGATTCGGACAGCGACGACCCGATTCCTGTACGAGGAAGGAGGTCAAAGAAGAGCAAACGCAGGCGCTCAAAGAGCAATAGCAGCTCATCGGATTCTTCAAGTGATGGCGATGCTTCTGCGAATGATTCGTCTGATTCTGACAGTGATAGCAACGATGGTGTGAAGAAGAGGAAGGGGAAAGAGCGGACACGGAAGGTGGAGGTAAAGGAGAAAGTTGGGGAAGAGGTGGAAAGATTGACGAAGAAGCTTCATGGTCTAAAGGTCGGCGACGTCAATTACGCAGCAACATACATCGAATTGGTCAGGCTCGCACCTATCGCCGCATCTGTCATTCCGAAGCCTACATCTTCCGTCTGGGGTCAGACAGAGAACCAAACCTCAACATCAGGAGTCAACACAGTGCAAGCGCCACTTGCACCTCCTCGACGGAAGCCTTGCTATTTCTGCAACAATTATGGCCATGTTTTGCGGGCTTGTCATTGGGTAGAAGACTATGTTGCTGCAAAGCGGGTGGTGTGGAAAGACAACCTTCTCTATTTTCCTGATGAACAAGGTGGACAGGCAGTTGAATTCAACCAACAAGGACTCAAAGTAGTGGTCGACAAGGCTTTTGGCGGACAACTCGAGAGGGCACGCGCA